GTAATATGTTTAAGTATGGTTATCTCTTTGTTTGGTCATCATGTTCAAAATAAATTTGTTTGATTGTTTAAATGAGAAAAAACAGATTAGATTAATACAAAAACAGAAGGAAACAAMTTAGAACTTAAACACTGAAGCAACAGAGGAACAAAGCAGTTCAACAGAGGAACAAAACATGCTAACATTGGTAAAAGGTGATTAGTGCTGTGTTAACTTGTTTTAAAGGACTTTAACTTCACTGATTGAAACAATGAAACAAAAATACTTTAAAAAACATGTCAATGTTAAAGCCAAAAAAAGGATAACACACACATACATAAAACAAAGAACACTTTATTTTCCTCATTTGCAGAGTGTCTCAGTCATCCATCATGTCACATCGTCTCTCCTGCATTGCTCAACGTAATACGAGTTATCAGGACACGTGGAGCTGGTGTAAGCTGATGTAATGGTTTGATTTTGCATTTACAGATGAACGAATGTAATTTATTTCTTGTGTTTAATGTGAGTGCCGTGAAAGGTGAGAGTGCTTTGAACCATTAAAACATTTATGTTCTCCAGATTAAACACTTCACTTCAGTGCCGCTTATTTACATCTTTGTTTATTACGACGAGCGTGAGGGAGGAAGGAGCAGAGGAGGTAAGAAGAGTAAAATGAACGTGAAAAAAATATAATAGACTAAGTGGTGCTGGAAACTGATGAGGGGATAAGGCACTCTGCAAAAACACAAGACAAAAAAGAGGGAAGAGCAAAAAATTAAAGACGCCTTTGATAAATAAACAATTTCAAAATTGTGACTGGAATAATGAAAGAAAAGAGGAAAATTTGTTTATTAAAGGTGTGGAAAAAGGAGGAAAAAAAGAGGACAAATCCCTCTAAAGGGTGGGGTGTTGATAGGGAAGGTGGAGTGGGAGGGGAGGAGGAAGAGGAGGGGCTGATGGATTAACGGTCTGTCAATCGTTTAGCAGTAACATATGCTTGTGATTCACTTTTATACAAAACACACACTGAGAGGCAACGAGAAACAAACCGGTGTGTGTGTGTGTGTGTGTGTGTGTGTGTGTGTGTGTGTGTGTGTGTGTGTGTG